AGATTTTTCATGGAAAATGGAAAACATTTTCTAACTTTGTATTTTGCCTTGTTTGATGTAAAAACTTTCCATGTAGTTACTTTTCTTGATTTGCTTCACACGGGTGCAATTTCCTTGAATTGGTGGAAAAGCAGCCAACTTTTTTTTTTAAATTTTTTTTGCAATGGAAAGAAATTCTATCCACAATTGTGAAAAAAATTCCCTTTAATAGACAATTTCTATGAAAAACAAAATCAAACGAATACTAAAAGATCCAAAATTTCAACATTTTTCAGGTGGAAAATTATATCAATCAAATACAATTAATTACAATTTTCAATAAAACAATTTTTAGGCAATTCAATTCCCTGAAATTCATTTTATTTCTATCCATTTTCCACATTTACAATCAAATGGACCCTTAGTGTATTTTATATGTTAATATAGAAAAGGTCATTATATTATACTTCATTTTTTTTTTTCAGTGCACCACTAATTAATTACGTTGAAGTTTTTAAATATTCCTATTTTCTCATTTAATTTTTCACATTTTTTGTTGCTTTTTTTTTTTTTTTTAATCATTAGTATCTCAAATTAGTCTGTTAAAAGTGCTTTGAAATGAAAAGCAAATTATATTATGTTGAACTTTTTTCTTATATAAAAAAATATAAATTGTAAATAAGTCTTTTTATGTCCCCGTAAGAACGTTTTGAACGACACCCTTTTCACTAAGAATATGCTTTAATTGATGAGAGTTTGATTATAAGAATACTTTGAAAAAAGTTCGAGATATAAGTACAATTACGAGCAAAGATCAAGAGGTTTTGATGCAACTAAAAATCGATCCAATAAAAAAAAAAATTGTGGTGGCTATGTAACCACCAAAATCTATAATATATTAAATACTCCATCCGTCCCAATTACATAGGCCAACTTTCATTTTTCTCCTATCCTAAATATATAGGCATGTTTCCTAATATAGAATATTTTATTTTGTTTTTTTACCAATATACCCTTATTAAATTTTTTTCACTTAATATGTCAACTTCTTGAAATAATCTAAATATACACATTTTCCACTTCTTGGAAACATGAAATAACTCTCATTTCTTCTTCTTTTTCAAATTCTCTATCAATTCCAACAGTAGTTTAGTTTTACATACTGAAAATTAAATAGGGGTAAATTTGGAAAAAAAATTGGCAAAAATTAATTTTTCAATAACATTAAAGAAAAATTTTTAATCCTTGTGAAAAACGAAACAAACCTATATAATTGGGACGGAGGGAGCATCACATCAAGTGAGAATCATTTTTTTTATTACGATTTTAACCTTACTCTAATTAAATTATTTCAGTAACACTTTACTCTCCATTTTTCAACATGTAATAAATATTACAAAATTCTTGTCATGTATGAATTTCGTGTTATTAATTATTAACTAATTAACATTCACGTTAATCTAGAATCAATGAATATTAACTTGATGAATCTTGATCTAAGTGAATCTAGAGTTATTATAAACAATTTATTTTTATTCTTGTATCTAGTAATTTTAATGGGTGTTTAAATTTATGTATTAGTAATTAATTTTTATATGTCATCATGAAAAATTTGAATTATAGAAGTTAAGTTTCGAGAGTATAATTTTTTTCTCTTAAATCTTTATCCTAAATCTTATTTTTTAGTTCGTTTGAGACTCGTCAAATCCTATCAACAAATTGATATTAAATATTACTTTGATAACACTTGTAAAGTATTTTAAAATTAATGTGTCAACTCATTGGTGCTTAAGATGAGCACCGGTGTTCATTAGATCATTTCTGATTAGAATAATACGCTTAAATTTAATTATATCTCTAATTACAGTATTAATTACGTTATGCTCAAACTCATCCAGAAACACGGGAGACAATCCCTTTCTTCCAATCTCATTTTTTGCTCTTCTTAAAAATCTTATTATTAAAATATTTTTGTTCAATCATTCAATGCTATATTTTATGCTACAATTATCCATTTTGATCGATTCAAAAATCCATTAGAAGCTTACAATGCAATCATGATAAATATGTTATGGATGATATTTAAAAATTAAAAAAAAAAATTATCTTCCATAAATTATTAAACATAAAACTATGTTTATTAAATTTTCTTTTTATTTTTTTCCTAATTGATATCAATGTAAAAATTTATGAAATTTAAATCATAATTAGTAAGTTCATTTCTTGTGGTCATTTTCGACTTGTAATTATGAGCTAATCATTTACTGATTTTAAATTCGAAAGATGCATTTCCAAATTTGTCATGTATACTTTGATAAGATAACAAAAACTTCACCTCAAGAGTGAAGAAACATATCATTTGAATAAGTCAAAATGTTTGGTTTTTTAAGTGATGTAATATGTCACCTTTTCGAGTGTTTCTTAAATTTTCTATCATTTTTCCTGAAAACGCGCCACTTTTTTTAGTGTCACTTTTATGAATTTTTGTAACTTTTTTAAATGTTTGTTACTTTTTTAATTTCTTTGCCACTTTTTTAGTGTTTATCACATTTTTATTTTGTCACTTGTTTTGAATTGTATTACTTTATTTTTTGTATATGTCACTTTTTTAAATTTCTGTTACTTTTTTTAATGTTTGTCTTTTTTTTATTATTTGCCACTTTTTTTTATTTCGTGTCACTTTTTGAGTATTTGTCAT